GCAGCAGCAGCAGCAGCAGCAGCAGCAGCAGCAGCAGCAGCAGCAGCAGCAGCAGCAGCAGCATCATCATCATCACCAAGGATATGGAAGTTCTGTCATAGATTAAAGGCGGCTGAGAAACGACCGAGTGCATTGCTGCATTGTGTGTTGGAATGGCAAGCCGTCCCAGAGTTACCATGCACAGCAGCTTTATGAGAACCAAGGACTGATTACATCCCACGAAGCAGTCTGGGGCAGTGTATCACATCGCATGCCTAAACTGTCCTTGTACCTACTCAGGCCAGACTACACGCCTACTCGGATCGCGTACACACGAGCATAAGTTGGTTGGGAAGGGAGTGATGAATTATCGCGAGTGACTCCTCACACCTACAAAACGGGCCATAAGTTCAACTTTGTGGCCGTCGAGGTAGTCGCCCACGCCGTAGAAGCAAGACAAGTCGAAAATCGACTGAAGCCTGGAACTCGGATGAGAACTCAGTCAGTGGATGCGTCAACCAGGCACCGGCATACAAAGCCCTGCACAGTCATCTCCAGATCTGCATAACTGATTGCTAACTGGTTCGTATCCTCTATGACTGTGGTTTGTACCCTTGCTGTTACTAACTCAGATGATGGACCCCTGAAGAAGTTAGACAGCTCAGAACAATAAACGTACTGTTTCGATATTCAGCCAGTCGTCTTTCTTAGGCTCCAAACAACTGACTTGTCATATAGCCGCTTTTGATTTGACGGTTCTTGATCGAAAGAAGTTATTTCATAGCTAACAAATAATAGTCGATATACCTAACTATGCCTGCTTCTGAAGTTTTGGGCATGCGAGGGGAGAAGTTGGTGCGCTATAGGGGTTTAAATCCGAAGCCCGTTGCCTTTTCTCCTGATAGTTCACGAACTGCAAGTACACCCGAAGCACGAACATTCGCCCCCACACAACGTCTAGTGTCCTGTATGTGAACAGTTTACGCCTATCTCCTTGTAGATTTGGAAAACAGCATGAATATTCACTGATCATCTTCTTCTTCAGGGTGAGAGCTCTCGACGGACTATAAGTAGATCCCTGAAAAAGGCGAAATATGCCAGCTAATTAAAACTGTTAACAGCAAAGCACCTTGTAAACTGACATTGCTAAACGCTGATGCAATGGCAGATCAGGCTGAAAATTATTCGGGAATTGGAAAACTTTTTTAAAACCTAAATATACACTTTTTTCGGGTATAAAATATGAAGATAGAGTGATTTTCTACCGAGCAAGTAAAAGAAGGCACATTTTTGTGCATGTTTTCTGTAAAATATTTTTAAATTTATAATACCACTGAAAGTCAATGTGAAAAATGCATGCTATTTAAGTAGTCATTTTTTGCCAAGTGTGGTTTCTGCAGGAGGTTAAAAAGAAGTGCATTCAAAAGCCGAAATCCTGACGAGTCCGCAATGCTAAAGGGTTATGCTGCATGATAATCAGTATAAGAACCCCACTTAAGTAATCCTTCCTAATCGGAAACGCATTCCAGAATTTTGGCCAACCGCGTTGCTGGGGTCTCTGAACAACAGATCAGCCGTCCTCTCTACCTCCCACCCAAGCGGTTGATCTCTTCTTACCAGGGTCCAAGGCACACAATCCCACCACTGAGGGTTTACGAATTAACAACCGGCTTGACATAGTAAGCAATCTCGAGGAGCACGAATATTCATCATCTAACTCCAATCGGACAAGTAAGGATGCCATCATCGGAGGAGAGAAGACAATGGGAGTGTCATTGAGTTGTATTTCTGGGTTGTTGAACTATGTCAGGGGAAACACTAAGGAGCAGACAGCAAAAGTCATTTCAAAAAAGGAGTGTATGTAAACAGTTTTCTTCCGAATGGCATCAGAAGTAGGTTGTCAGACTGCGTTGGAAGTCCTATTCGCAGGCTCTCTTGCATCCCTCCAGAGTGGCAAACCTGTTGGCGTTTCCTCCACAACCGCCGTAGATGAAGCGCACACATTTGCGCTGTCTTCTATCGAAGGCGTAATGAGGAAGATAGGCGAGGCAGTTTCCGGCCTCAATGGGCAACTCACAACGATTCCCCCGACCTGAAAATCATGATGGGTTGAGAATGTGCGATCCTTGCAACATTAGTTCGCGGACTACTAGTTCAAAACGCCAGGGTGGGGATCTACCACGCTTTGCTTGCTTATAAGTCAAGGAAAGCTGATGCAGTACAAACTGTGGTGCTCCGTCAGTTTGGTTTTATAACAAGCGAATTGTCTTCGATTAGGAAGTATTACTCATTTAGTGTTGTACTACTGATTATTCTGCAGCCAATCACGCCAGGATGCCGTCCATTTAACAGTATCCTTTCCGGCTACCTGAAAAAATCTCACTCCGGTAAGAATGACTGCTTAAATAGTTTGATATTTTCTACCGCGTTCTAATGTGCTCGAAAATTCAAACATACCTTACAGATGACGTTTGCAAAACTACCCTTTCTTGAACCCATTTTATAGAAAACCACGTATTCCTCAAGACTTTTTACTTAGGGAAGAAGCGTCTTTAGGTTTTGAAAATATTTTTTAGTCCTCGAATAATTTTGAACCCTACCAACAGTGGCCATTGTGCCTAGAGTTTCTAAACTACAGGCTTTATACTGTCTGTGAAAGGAATATTATATGTTTCTCAAGGAAACCTAAAAGAGGTCATGGAGGGCTCATAAAATTTTGCATTTAATGTAGACCATGATGCCTACTATTTAAGCAGCTACAACAAATGTACAGATAGGATGCTTTGTGGATATATATTTCGCCGTTTTGCAAAATCTTATAACTAGAAGCTGTTTTAAAAGCGAGAAAGTCCTTTCTCTGCAATGGATGTGGGTTATGTTATAATATCCATAAGCAGCGCTATTCTATGCAATATACCTGAATTTATAGGGGCACCAAAAATCAAGGTAATAGCAAACCAGTTGAGCAGTGCTTTGTTTTAAATAGTGCAGTTTTTTCGGGTAGTCGAAAACAAAGGCATTCGAAAGCACAAATCCCGACAAGGCTGAAGTATTATAGGATAATGTTGCACGATAATCAATATCACAAACTCACTTAAGAAATCCTTCCTAATCGAAAACGCAATGCAGAATTTCGGCGAGCATTTCATGAGATCGGTCACTCATGTCCAGTTCGTATATGATCAGGATAAGTTTATCATCGAGAATCACCTAATGTATTTCTCAAAGTAGGTGTTATTCGATAGACTTTTTAATTTACACCGCCTTCTTCGTTTTCTTCCTTCTGTCACGTTGTTAGGTGAACTTTTTCCATCGATTTGTATGCGCGTACTTCCCGAACTGTGACCTTGCCGCTTTTTATATTGATTTTCTAAACAAGTTCAACCTGCAGTGTGTTCATTATGCGTTATCCGTGTTATGCGGCGACAGAAAACAGCCGAAGACTCTTCTTGAACACTTTATTGAGAATAAATCTCATTGGTTATGCTTGTTTTTAATTCCTGTCGCTAGCGAAATACCTCAAGCATTCGAGTTTTTAGTAAATGTACGGAAAAGCAAATCCCGATGGGGTTGCAAACTCCACCCCTTAGTTCACGAATTTAATTCCTTCGCTGTCATTATGTGCTGACTTTCTAATCCACAAGAACATAAGTATTCAAGCAATTCCGTAGTCAGGTTTAAATTGACTCTGAAATATTGCATACCTGTAGCTCCGAGGCAAAGAAGGAGAATCAGTAGGAAAGCGAGGCTGCGTATTCTATTTGTTTCGCCCTAACTCCGATGCTTTGTGAACAATCCGCCCTTATATACCATATGACGTATGGAGGTGGCTCAACTGTATCGGAGCACAGGGAACTCAAAAGGCTAATTTTATGGAAAGTCACAAATCCGCACACCTAATCTCACTACAATTCAAAACGGCAGCACCGATCAGTGGGACTGATGTGAATCTAGTTACAGAGTTACCTCGCGTATAGGGCAGAATTCATCCAGACACCGCCAGCAGGGTTTATTAGTGTACCCGTTGTCATGGGAACAGTGCGACGATGTGAATGCAGGAGGTGGGGGAGAAGGAGGGATAGAGCTGCTGTAGATGAAATGTCATCAGTGGGGTCTGTACTCATGGTGGTGTAGTTATGGTACCATTTTGCCGAGATAGAGTTACGCACACGGACCCTGCTTAACGCCACGAACGCGATTGAATCTATCCCAGTGTGCTCAAAGCCCTGGCTTGGGAGACTGCTAACCGTGGGAATAGCTCGACCCGCCTCTCAGAAGAGAGCGAGAATGCGGCTGCAGGGACTCCTACAAGATGTGGTCTGTACGGCACTCGCAGTCAGTTCGGATCGGGACTGCCCCCACCTCTGGTTGTGTAAAAAGCTGGTTCATTGTGCACCGATCTGGGGTGTGTGTGGCCAGCCCGGAGACGTACCATCTGCCGAGGCCAACTATTCCATCCGACCCTGCCCCCCCCCCCCCTTCCCGCCCCGGTCCTCTTGACTCTTTCTTGACATCGAATCCGTGTGGGCAAGGCGGAGAGAATGCGCAAACGCTGCGATAATCTACTAAACTAATTCCCATGAATGTCTCTGTCTCTGCACCCCCACTGTTGTGGGTCAAATGGTGAACATCGTCGAGGAGGACGGCTGAGAAATCACCCAGCAAGAATTCCAAAGAGTAAGTGGTCAGAGGGCAACAAGTGGAGTCAAGACTTACTATTGCCGCCGCAGGCTCGTTGACACTCCTCAAGGCTTTCGAAACGATTGTCATTGCCACCGCAGCCACCGTAGATGAATCTTTCGCAGCGATTTACCTCAGGAATGTAGGCGAAGCTGGGGAAGAAGCCTCTGCATAGACCGGGCTCGACTGGCAACGTGCAGACATTGTTACCCGCTACAAGCAAAACATTTGGTGAGCAGGGGTGGTAATTTTGCAGCGTCATAGTAATCAGAGTAAGTAACTGTGGGCCATCGAGCATTAAAAACTCGCAGAAAATGCGAAGGTCGAACATTCGTACCGAATGCTGCTGTGAGAGCTTTTGATTAACTTGCTTTTATCAGTTATTGAAATCCTAACCCCTGGTCAGGCAGCAGAGGAAAAGCTACTTTACAGGCGATAAACTTATACGAATGTTTGCTTTCAAAACTATTACATATATATAAAATGGTAAAGGGGCGCCTACGGATCACATTACGGAACTCACTCGTCCGGTTGTGCCTTGGAGCTCCCTCTCGAGCCCCGCCGTCAGCCGCATAGCCGGGCGTAATTTATATATATATAGGGTTCAGTTAAAAAATATAACTAAGCCAGACAAAACACTGCACTTAGAATGAAGGTGAGCAATTTAGGAGTCAACGATATAGAAGCTGAATTGACCATTCGCAGACTCTATAGAGGCTGAAGCGACCCCAAAATGCGTAGCCTCAAAGATCGTCATTGGATTCTGAGGCATCTCCTAGTGGGATGGCGTAGAGAAAGGAGATGGGCTGGGAAAAGACTACAAGGATCTCTAGAAGGAGTCATTCCATGTCCTGTTAACTGGGGAAGGAACGTGCTCGTCAGTGGACCTGCCCTGACTTTAAATGGCTGCGATGCTGGAAGACAGCTGGATACGAGAGATTATAAACACTGATTTCAGCATCTCGTTTGTAAGCCCTACGTCGAAGTGTACAGGTCTCACAGTCAGCGGAATGCCGATACATTCGTAGGACAGAAGTCAGCACACCGGAAACGCACCAATCAGCGAGGGGGAACTAACCTGCGTTGGTGCTGAGTGCGAGAAGGAATGCTAGGCAGAGAACGCTGAACATGCTTGGCTATGCCCTCTGTGTTGCTGAGTTTGTCCGCAACTGAGGGGTATTTATATCTGCCGCGAGCAGCAATTTGTGCGCTCTTCGCTGCGATGATCGCCAAAATTGGCGTAGCCTGTCTAGTTGATTGAGGTGCTTCAATGCGCGCACCGGAAGCGCTGTCAAAGTGTCCGGCTGCACTATCTCAGCAGAGACGACTGCGTAACTTAGGAGCTGGCTGTAAATCAGCTGATCATTGTTCAAGTAGATCCCATTCTTCGGGGGGCCGGGCATGAATGACTGCGTAAAAGTACAGTGCTTAATTGCAGTGAATACTAATGGCAGACGCAGCAATTCCGGCCATAGATTTCAAAACTCAAGCGGTCCGAACGCTGAGGTCGGGATCAGCGTGCACTTTCCTTGGTTTGGGATTTCCAACTATACGTAATACTGTTATTTTGACAACGTTTTCGACACTATTGTGTTTGGCGGTCCGACTTTTGCATGAGAGCGAGAGAGAGGGAGAAAGGGGAAAGTGAATGCCTGTAGTGCAGGCAAGGTTTTGTCTCACATGGTAAAAAGATGGCTGTCCCTCAGTTATAAGGCATCTCATATGCTGGCGTTTTCTTGCGTCTAAACTAGTAAGGTGGCACAGCGCGAGTGTTGAGTTCTGTTCATACTAAGGCGCTTTTCACCGTCGGCCAATAGAATGATGCCAAGCCAGTGAGTATCACTCACAAGCTGTTTTGTTATCAAAATCAACCACACCCATTTTTCGGTCTTTACAAATGGTTAGAGCCAGTCAACTGATGGACTCTGAACGCTGAAAAAAAGAACTTGCATCTCCAGAAAATGTTTATAAGTTACGACAGCGTAACTTTGGTTTGGCATCAACTACTGCAAATAAACCGACAGTTTTTCAAGTAGGCCCTCCCCCTTTCGAAGCTTGCCGTTAATTATTGCGTAAGTAGACAGTGATTACTTGCTGTTCTTCAGGGTAGCCGAAGCAGATGGGAGACTTAGCAATTCCGACCCAATTGATTACATTCCTAACGCAGAAGTTGCAGTCAATGATTTTATTCCCTGCAATCCAGCGAAGTGCGCTGAGTTAATATTACACGCAGATATTTAAACGGTCTGCAGTTTATCTCGAATGCTAGTTGGCAAGTGTGCCCGAAATGTTGTTTCCGTCCGCTTGCCACAAATCAACTCACACTTCTCCATTGTCCCACAGTTGCTACCGTAGCCGCCATGGACGTGATGCCGTCTGTTGTGGCTAAACTGGGAAATCTGTCTCAACCCGTGTAGACGAACACCAGTTAGCGGTGGGGAAACGAGATCATATATTCCAGGTGGCCATGCACACACTGGACACAGATTTGCATGATAGAACACGCGCACTGTTGGCGCCTACCCACTTAGAAAGGACCGCGAATTCCTGGAAGCAATGCACTCAGATGAGACATACATCAATCGGCCTATCAGTTTAGACGCCATATGCAAATATCTCAAGGAGAATTGGAAGGGAACGCAGCCAATGTCGCTGAGAAGAAGAAATGAAATTGACATGCATTGGCGCAGACTTCGGTCAACCGCAGAATCACTTGTTCGACACGGTTAAATGATGAAATGTTTTTGTACATGACGCGTACTTCTGACAGAGATGTGTGGAACCACTCTCGAAAATTTACACAATAAACGTTATTTTGTTCCCTTTAGTATCCTGCAGTAGGTAACCTAGCTCATGAAAGATGTCGAGATTTACGAGTGATTGCCAATCACTCGCAAACGGACATCAATTCTTGGATCCAATTTAGTACATCTTCCAATGAATTAAAAACAAGAAATATATAAGGCAGTGTTGTATTGTTTCAAAATGTCGATTTTTTTAGAAAAACGTAAAATCCTGGAAAGATCAAAAATGGTTGTAATTTAGCAAATGCGTTTCCAGATGTACAAATTGTCTTCTCATGCGAAAACTGAGTAATCATGAAAGCAAAAATAACGCTCAAATATAGTGCTTTAATGAGCTTTGCATCTAATTATCCTTTAAAAATTAGTGTAATTTTAGTTATGGCGGCTATCAAACAGTCCCCATTCTGAGTATAGATTCTAAAAAAGTTTTTCGCGGATTCGTGATGTCCTTGATTCGTTTCAGTTGATTGAGATGCGTTTCATCAAGAAAAACGGGATTTTGCTCGATTTCATTGATGGGGACGTCGTCGGAACAAAAGTTTTCATAAGGCCACATGCTGTCAGGCTGATCGATCTCGAATAAATTTAAATAGAATTTGTAGGGGTAATTGTAAACAAAGCATTTTGTGTTTATAAAAAGAACTTCTCTTCCTTTAAAGTAATTTGCACTTTTCGTCTGTTCTGGATAACGCTGAGTACCAGATCATCCTTAAAATATCATTGAATGCTTTATGATTTTCAGAGTTTTCTCCTGATCACCCATAAAGACAGATTCTGTATCATGTATCTGTTAAAAAACAAGGCATTTCTTGAAGGCATTCACCGAAGTAACGAGTTTGTAGGCGTTCTTTTTCACGTAGAAGGTCCTTTGGATCACTGTTAAAGACTCATCCAGGAGATAGGCCACGTACTGTACCTGTTTTAATTACGTTTTTTTGGGATATTCGTCTTCCATTATACAAAAAGTTACTATTTTTCCTTCAAAAAACACCTGGTCTCAAAGGTGTGGGGCAGACTATAGATCAGCGGTGAATATGGGGGTGGAAGCCACTACGGTGGTTGCCAACTTCCGATAAACGCCAACGACAATGCTCTCAGCCAAGTCCTGCAACCTTTTCCGACGAAAATATGCGCAAAAAGACACTCCAATGGGGCGTACGCGTTGTTTAAGTTAGCGGTAAAAGTCAGAATCATTCCCGTGGATCCCACACTGGAGGAGGGCGTCTGCCGCCACATGCCATCTCACGCTCCTCCATGGTTCCGAAGCGATTATAATTGCCATCGCAACCGCCATACACGAATTCCACACAGTCACCCAGCTCAGGATTGAAGGCATACATTGGGATCCGCGCTCTGCACATACCAGTACTGGTAGGCATGTAGCAGGAGTGCGCTCATCCTGAAGAGGAGAAAGAATGCGGTGAAATGGGTCAGGACTAGGCTCGGATCTTTATTGAGCATCTGTGTACTAGTACCACAGTGGAAATTGAAGGGAATAGCATTCCAAGGGAACATTGAGAATTTATCGTTGAGCATCACTTTGTACATATCTCCTCACTGGCACATACATGACACATGAACCCGTTCCCCATTGTCCACCACAAGCACGGAATTGGCACCTTCGCCATGTGACTCCTCTGCAACTCAAACACACGTGAGAACAGAGCAGTTCACACCCCTTTTGTGTGAAGTCCCGGTTTGTTGTGCGGGGACCCAGCGCGCGCGCGCGCAGACGGACCCTCTAGCCCTGTCAGTCACTGCGCCCACTCCCCCCCCCCCCCGCATCCGACGACTGAGACCGGATGGGGGCGAGAACTGGAGCCCGTAAGTGGAGCAAGAGCGTGAGGTCGACGGTCTCAGTGCGTATTTCTCACTACAAACAACCTGACACGCTTGAACCAATCGGGGTGCGCTAAAGGCTGTGACTTGGAAGACTATCGACTGACGGGACAACTCGGTCCTTCCCGGGGGACGGGGAGTCGGGCTGCAGTGGTTTCCTCTTAATGTGGCACTCTCAATCAGTTTGGATATGTGCCCCTACCTGATGTAACAGGTAGCATGACGTCTCCATGCGGTCAGACAACCCGAAAGTATGAGCATTTCAAATTTTTACGTGGAGGTTAGATAGGACTAAGAGTTCAGTTGCGCATTCACTAATTAGATTGGGCTGGTACATTTCATCGGGGGGACTTGTGTGTATACATATATAATGGTAGGGGGCGCTCGCTGATCGTTCTGACGGAACTCACTCGTTCCGTTGTGCCTTACAGGCTCTCTCTCGAGCCCAACCAGCAGCCGCACAGCGACACATGATATAGGCAGAATGGTATTACCGACGAAAACAAGGGAGACTGAAATGGCCATTTCTGGTTTATTAGCAGTCGTCAGCCAATCATACCCAACTCCGAAGCGTGGAACACCCGAGGCTCGAACTCGCGACCTTTTAGTTAGATGTCCACGCCTCTAACCACTGGGCCACGAGTTCGGAACGAGTGAGTTCGTATGAACGACCGGTGAGCGCCCCTTATATTATATTAATAAACTGATATTGACCCTCGCAGTCTAGTTAGAAGTCTATTTCGTAGTAAAATCACCGCCGCCTCTATTCAATCAGTTCAAGCTTTCCCATCATTTTTTGATTTTGTTTCCTCAAGACGGCCTTCCTTCCCTCCTTCCTCTACGGCTCTCCAATCAAGCTCTTGGTGCACTTCTGACTTGCCGACTGGATGCTATTTGCTTTTTTGAACACTCCCATTCTGATCGTTGTTCATTTGCTAGATGACAGACTGGCATTTACTTTTAGTCCATTTGTTCAACCTGAAGAATAAACCTGACCGACGTCGTCTAGCATTTCGTTCGAACAGTTTATTAATTTTATTATATTACTGCATGTATTTCAGTAACGTTTATTTTGTTTATTATACTATGTCTGTTGAATGCGAATGTTGGCATTTAATTCGACTCCCTCAGAAACTGAGATAGCACCAGTTATCCACAGACAGACTACTGTACAGCACATTTAGTAACGTTAATGTTTTTGACATTTGGAACAATTCGTTTATCTGTCTGGTTTCGAAAACTCTGCCAATCTGAAGAAACTCTGTAGCTGTTTGATGTTTCCATTTTCAATTTTTTGATATAGTTCGCTTCCTTGTAACAACTAGGGAGTTCAAAGGTTCAACGCCTATCTTTCCCTCAAATAAACTGAAACTGAAATCGCCGTCTGAATCATTTGGGATATGTGCCCCTCCCTGATGTAACAGGTAGCATGACGTCTCCATGCGGTCAGACAACCCGAAAGTATGAGCATTTCACATTTTTACGTG